CGACCGTTGGCGGAGGGGGCGGCCCGTCGTGTGGGGAGGAAGGAGGCGGGTAAGCCGGAGTTCACCCCACCACAGGAAGGCTTTGCAGCAGCTGCTTTGTAATGTGAGCTGCTCCCTCTCTTCGCGCTCTCCCTCCCCTTCTTGTGCGCTGGTCAAAATACTGCAAATTCGTGGGCTCGCGTGTGTGTGTGGTGGGAGGCAGAGCCTCAGGTCAAAGAATGGTCCCTGTGAGGTGTATGTTGAGCCAAAACAAAATAATCAGCGTGGAAACAGACGCTTAGGTATATTAAATATGTTTATGTTCTCTACGCAGACCACTGGACTTGTAGGATTGGCTGTAGCTGAAAACCCTCATGAGGTACGTCACGTGTCTTGTTCGGTATTTAATGGAAATTGTCAGTGAGATCAAAGCTTTTTGTTATGTATTTGCATATGTAGGTATGCTGTGTACCTTAAAGCGGTGCCAACTTAATAATAAGTGAGAAAACGTTCCAAAATGATAAAGGAAGAAAATTAATTCTTAAAGGTTTAATTCATATCATTAGGAGTTATTTTGCACGTGTACTTTTTGTTGCACGTGCTGATTTCAAAAACCTCCTTGGTGTAAGTACTTCTGTGAACCAATATTCGATTTCTCTCATCTCCAATGCAAAAGCAAAGAAGTCTTTAAATTCAGTTCTTCATAAATGTAATTTCTGCTTCACAGGCATACAGATTTTTGCTGCCTTGCTATGTTGTGTTTCCAACAAGTACTAAAATAACTTACACTAAGGGGGATAGGCTAGCCTTACATGATAGAGGCTAACCATGTCGCACAAAGCCACATCAAGGCCCGGTGATGGCAACCACTGTTGAGACTGGAATATTTCAGTGGTTCTTGGGAACCACATTAGGTGGTTCTTGTAGCAATTTGGTACTTTCTTTTTACCTCCTCAGGCTCAGTAATGAAAGTATGTTTGCTACATCTTGCTTGCTTATTCAGGAGGCATGAGCTTTGAAAGGACTTCAGTAATTCTTCAATTTCTCTGCTTTGAAATTTCCCGCTATGCAACGATTCTATTTCAAAAATGCTTCTGCCACCAATAGCTAGGAATACTGTCAAAAAGAACCATTGAAAAAATCATTATTGTTCTGTACAAATGATTCTAGCTCAGTCTGCAGCCTTGTCAGACACTTTCTGGGTGAACTTACTAAATTTTAGGTTTTTTTCAGTGACTTAAAGCCAAGAGTAAAGAAATCAACAATGCTTTAGTTGAAGTATGGATTCTATGCCAGTCCCCTGTTCATTTCCTGTTTTTTCTTCTTTGTATTTCTTTGACTTCAGTATTCTGCTTCTATTTCTTATTGTTCCTATAGGACATCTATTCCTCTTCAGTTAGATACAGTTATCCAGCCAACATACGGCCCAAAAGCTGCAATTTCTTCACCCCAGTGTGTCCTTTATCACTGCATTTAAATCCAGCAATAAAAGTTGCAGATTGTAGTTTAATTTAAATCTGTCTGTCGCTCAGAATTTTGCACCAGTGTGAGAAGTGGTGCCAAAAAAAAAAATCTCGTTATGTTTTGGTAGCTTACGTACTTCTTCATCTTTCCCAGGTAATTTTTCAGAAACTGATGGTTTAGACATAAATTTGCCTCATTTTTTTAAAAGTATGGTTGGTATTAGAAACACGGCTTTTATTGTTTCCATTTTGCATCAAATGTACTTCAGATTGCAACTTTTTTTTTTCTTTGAGGAATCTGACAGTGATAACTTCCCAGTCCTGATAAATCCCAGTCTTACCCAAGACAGAGTTCTGTGGTTCAGACTTAGTTATTTTGTTAATCTTACATTTCTGGATTGAATACCATAACCCTCTATATTTTGTGTATAGATAGTTAGCTAGTAGGTTAAGTAGGACAAGAAGTTAAATAATTGTAGTTGTCTATTTTAACCATGTCTTGTGATCACTTCAGCGCCTGCGAATACTGTACACAAAAATCCTTGGTGTCCTGCAAAACATTCCCAAAGATGCAGCATATAGGAAATACACTGAGCAGATTGTAAATCAGCGATTTAATTTGGTGCAAACGGTAAGTACAGTGCTGTTTTATAAATGTTACGCATGAAAAGATTTTTAGGATGAGAAGAATGATTTTCAAAATGACTGACTTTCAGGAGTATATGTAACTTTCAGGTATCAGTTCAGAAATAGTTGAAGTCTTGAGGTTTATTTTTGTTACTGACTGGAATATTTTGATGTTATATTAAAAAGAATTGTTACTTTCTTACTGATGTTTTCTGTGAAAATTAGAAGAAAACATAGTTTTTTGAAGATTCATAGAACAGTGGTAATTTCCACACACTTGCACAAAAAATGCATGTGCTCATATCAGTGTAGTATCTTAGAACAATCCTTGCCTTTGACATTTTAAAACACTTTTTGGTACCTTAAACTATGTAATAGTGGTATTGTGTATTTTGGGTGATAATTGGAAGGTTGCATACCATTTCATAAGAATGAAATGATACATACTAAAGCCCTTAGCTGCTAATGTTTCTTTGGAGGTCATTAAATAGTACTCATTTTTTGTATTTATTATTGAGAGTTTGATGTTTGTTTTCCAATAAGAAAAGTGTGTGAGATTTCTTTGATAAAGTAGAATGACAGAAGCCAGCTAATTTGATGGTTGAGGAAGACTAGAGTATGATCTGGTTAAATTACTGTTTTCATGCTGTATCTGGGCTTTCTACTTCTCACTGAAACTAAACATTTATTTATATGTATTTGAATACACAGGAGACTGATGTGCAAAAACTACAGGATAAGCTGAATAGTGGTCACATAGAAGAAGTCATTGTACAGGTAAACAATTGGGCGGGAGTGTTGATCTGCTCGAGGGTAGGAAGGCTCTGCAGAGGGACCTGGACAGGCTGGATCGATGGGCCGAGGCCAACTGTATGAGATTCAACAAGGCCAAGTGCCGGGTCCTGCACTTCGGCCGCAACAACCCCATGCAACGCTACAGGCTTGGGGAAGAGTGGCTGGAAAGCTGCCTGTTGGAAAAGGACCTGGGGGTGCTGGTCGACAGCCGGCTGAACATGAGCCAGCAGTGTGCCTAGGCGGCCAAGAAGGCCAATGGCATCCTGGCCTGTATCAGAAATAGTGTGGCCAGCAGGAGTAGGGAAGCGATCGTGCCCCTGTACTCGGCACTGGGGAGGCCGCACCTCGAATACTGTGTTCAGTTTTGGGCCCCTCACTACAAGAAGGACGTTGAGGTGCTGGAGCGTGTCCAGAGAAGGGCAACAAGGCTA